TGCCCCTCCTGATTTATTATTTTTAGTTAAACTGAATTTATATTGCCACCTCTCTAGCAATGTATACAGTACTTCCCCTCTTTAGGTACAGTGCAAAGGAATATGTTTCTGGGGTGGAGAATGTCAGCCAAAAAAGGAAAGATGGAAGAAACGCTTAAGAACATTCCAACCACTGTTTCTCCGCTAATAATAGTCTTCCCTCGCTGTACTTTTCTTTTAAAAAAATTGTTCCCATGGGATTTAAATATATGCCATAGCACAGTGGTGGAATTCAAATTTTTTTACTACTGGTTCTGTGGGTGTGGCTTATTTGGTGGACATAGCTGGACTGGGTGGGTATGGCTTATGGTCATGTGGCTGGGTGGGCGTGCTTGGTGGTCATGTGACTGGGTGGGCATGGCCAACTCAATGTCACTCACATCAAGGGGTGCCTCACCTGGCCCCTCCACTACCAGCCATTCCTTGACACCCAGCCTCAACTTATCTATAGTTCTGTAAACACATTGTTCACCTTTTTTGACTTTATTATCTGCATACTATAGATGTACTTTCATGGACCACTGAAAGGAGGAAATGGCTCACATGCTTTGCCCAAGAGTGTGATAGGCAACAGGCTTTTAAGGGGCTGCCACAAAGAAAGGGGGACAATGTATTTTCCAAAGAAGCAGAATGCAAACAAGAAGCAATGGATGGAAACTGAAGAGAGAGAAGCAACCTAAAACTAAGAAGAAACTTCCTGACAGTGAGAACCATTACCCCAAGGTCCCTTCTAAGTATTATTCTGACACCTTTCCCAGGATTTCTACTCAGAGTTTGGCATCCTCAATTTTCTTGCCTGAGCTGTGGGTTAGATTAGAAGACCTCCAAGGTCCCTTTCAACTCTTGTTAAACACATGTGTATTTTATGCTCTGGATGTATGTAAACCCTGAAAAATATGTGGTAGCCCTGGGCAAAAGAAAGGCAGAAAAATCACTCTAGGTGTAGGGACAGTGTAAAATATTAACACATGATAAATAATGGAACGATTAAAAATAATAGCACAGAGTTTTATCTCTCTCTCTCTTCCTATATTTTACTTTCTTTCTCTCCCTTCCTCTTTCTTTCTTTCTTTCTTTCTTTCTTTCTTTCTTTCTTTCTTTCTTTCTTTCTTTCTTTCTTTCTTT